TGCCTCGATATTGAGGGAAACCAGTAAGAAACTAGATGAGCCGTCAGTCAATAACTTGAGGCAAATTTCCTTGTGTTTTCGCTGCTACGTACGTTTTTGGGATCGCCTTGGGAATACTTTTTATAATTTCTGCCTTCAAACTACTGCTCATTACCTCGGGAGTTGTGTCGTTCCTGAGCCTCGATTGTAGATATCTAATGATATCCCCCTCTGGGGGCTCTATCGATACACTGGTTGCTGTTCCACCAAACCGCCTTTTAATCTCTTCCCGGATATGTGGTCTTCCGGTTATAAATATTCGAGTGTTTTGCGACCTGCGGAGAATCTGTCGTAGCGAATCAAGAACCTGCATTCGATGCTCCGGCACACATTCATCAAGAGCGTCAACGCATATAAATGCTCGCTGTTTGGCTGACCTAGCCTCGAAAAGTTTCACAATTCCAGGAACTTGCAGTTCTCGGCCACCGATGACCTTTTTCTGGTCGTGAAACTCCTGCACTACTTCGTCCGGGATCTCATCCAATCCGCGGAGAAGCTGTTTTAGCAAGGAGCCCAGCATATTATTCGGGGACTGCTCCTCCCGGGCAGCAAAGTCGAAGTAAAAGCAAGCGACGGCGATATCTTGCCCCTTGGCTCGGTCGCATAAATTATCTATCACCAGCGAACTAAGATCGTGGCTTGTTAGCAATACCATCCCCCCTTCATCCCCCATCCCTAATAAAATGTTTCATACGTGATATAGCTCTTGCCGACACCTGGGTGGCCGTAGCAGAACAACATTGCATGATCGGACCCACTCTCCCCACTACCATGATACCAGCTTTGGAATTCCTTGGTTTCCAGCAACCAGTCTCCCACGCTCTCTACCCGCTGGGCCCCAATGTCTCGGTGCCGTAGCTGTGGCTCTAAGGGAGACAGCCATGCCAGGATTTTGGACCGATCATCGATAGCAGTGGAGTTAAAGCTATTTGAAAGTATGACAGAGTTGGAGTTATTGCTGAAAAATCTAGCCATTTTCGGTTTTTTTCGGTTTTTGGAGAGTGCTGTAGATAACAAGCAGTTGATTAACTGAGAATCGACCGACGGAATTCCTGAGTTTTAGGCAAAAGCGGGGTTCAGTGCGCTGCCTTGTGGCTACTTGAGGGCGATCGAATCAATTAATTATTAATCCGGATTTGTGAAACCAACATTCAAGTGCCTGTAATTTTTGAACCGAAAGATACAGCCACCACACTTCGCCTTGGGCCACCCACTCAGACGACTTGAATGTCGTGCTACCATACTCCAATATGATATATGGTGAGCGGTCTCCTGGGCAAATGCGAGCATTTTAGGCTGCACGTTTAGGACTTTTAGTGTGATAATACAACCTCTCACTCTCTGTAGAGAAACATCGAAGCACACTTTCATGTTATCTCATACTAAGTTCTCTACAGTCTCCCGTAGGGGCCATTTTTTCCGACCATATATAGACTCCGCCGAATGCTATGTCTGCGTCCGTGGGAGCTGTGTTACGGGATATTTTCTAGGACAAGTGGAGAGAGGAAGAAACCTCCTGTATCAGAGAGCCGAAGAGCTAAAAGAACCATCTTACTCTGCTCGCTGGTAAGTTCAAAATTTGACATGTTACAAGAATGGAAATCAAGTTTAGTTGAGTGTTACGACGGGCAACTTGTCTTAACATCATCTAGCCAACCAATCTGTCTTCAGGTTGATGGGTCAATTCTTCGAAAACAAACTCCGGTATATGTATGACATGATAGGAGAATCCAAATAGTCAGAAGAGCTTGAATCTGGTGATGGGTGATTGGGTCTCAGAGAGTATACCGGTGATATGCTTTTTTGTGCATAAACTTTACCAGGGCCAACGATAATCGATAAAAGAGGCTTCTACTCAACCCTTTTTTAACTGAGACATAACCATGCTAGTAGAAAATCAACTCAACAAATGAAACATGATACAATCCAACAGAATCTGGGTAATTCCAAAAAGGATATCGAATACAAGCAAGGGAGCATGAACAAAAACCGGAACAAAGAATTACAGTAGTAACTAAAGTTAGTACAATGTTGCGGCAAGATTTCTAAATATTACACTGTAGCCTTGATGGTTGTGCCTACCGTAGCTTACCGCAACCTTAATTGCTCCACATTATAAGCTTTGATGCACTAAAAGATATTTTTCTTCTCCATAGCGTATAACTAAAACCGTTCAATATTATTATACATCTTCTACTTATCCTGGAGAAATCATATCATAAAATGGAATAAAAAACCAAATAGACCCTCTAGCAATTGAGCTCAGAACCTTCTCAAGCTATAATCAGATCATTGTAGATGAAATGTTATCCTAAACCATGCGCCCGTCGTAATTTTCAACTTGGTTTCCACATATGTAACCCAGCCTCCACCACTGGTCAACGCACATCCTTATGCACTGTCCTGCTCTTTCTTATTATTACCAACGCATAGCATATTTCCTAACTCATAGTCAGCAGTCTTCACTGGTTATTTATCGCCTAGTCCATTCTTACCTTAGCAGTTTCTCTGCGTCGGCACTGAAAATCACTCGTCAGGCACCCGGATACCACCTTTGGAGAACGAACTTGATGTAATAAGACCTCACCCTCTCAGAGAGTGTTTCTTGGTGGATCAGTATGATTTTGGATAGGGTATGATACTATAAGCCTTTAATACCATCGCGATACTTGGCTAACTCAATAGCAAACACATTTCCCATAACAGCCTATACTCGAGTACATGTGCAGTGTTTCAGGGGATTGTGAGTCCGCACTATCATAGGTCTATCTCCTAATTTCATTCGCGTTCTCAAGAGTGCTAGTATACCGTACTCTTTCACATTTCTTGCTTTCGTAGGGCTAGGGTTTTTCCCTATCAGGCTTGTTCCCCCATTGGTCAGTCTGGCGCCATCGGAGTTTATAAGGCTACCAATCAATTGCTACATTTCAACTGTCATACTCTCTTCTCATATCCTTGATCAATTTATTTATGTTGACCATCAGTCTAGATGTTAACCGCTTCGAGTAGAAAAGAACTGTGTGGCATTATGGAATATGCACAATGACCAGCGCAAATTTAATACTACTTTATACTCGAGTAGACACTCGATAAGAAAGTCAGTAATAGGTGTATCAGCAACGGTAGAACCCCAGGGAACAACTACACCTCTGGAGAGTCCCAGCCAAGACCGAGACAAAAAAAAACTACACCACAAGATATCTTCTAACCCCTACACCCATCTGCCCATCGCAAACCAACCCAAACGTCTACCAAACCAGTCCCACTCCCCCTCCTCCACCTTCCAACAAAAAAAAACAGTTCCACAACGGACTAACACCACACTTACGATCCACCTGCCCGCGCGCCGGCGAGACACAATCCCGGGCTAGATCATGGCGACATGAGTCATCACTCGCAACGGCCTTGCGCTCTGGAAACGGTACGTGCCACGCGAAGTGGGGAGAATCATATGGATGTTCTAGATCTGATGATCGCATCTTTTTTTTGCAGCGAGGGAAGTATCTTGGTAGGACTGTTTATATCCCAGATTAGATGTGTTGATTTAGTTGTTTTGCAGGCAGTGAAGGGGGGTTGGCTTCGGAGGGTTCCGGGGATGTGAGTGATGGGGGATGGGAAAATTGGGATTGGGATTTGGATAGGGAATATTGAATCTGGGATACCGCTGCTGTAACTGGAAATTGGACCTTCGGGTTGGGGGGTATTTGGAATAAACTCGGTATCCGGGGTTTATCATGGGTTTTTGTGTACCTACAATGTCGTAAAGGACGGCAAGTGTATTGCACCATTGAGAGGGGAGGTTGATCTTGCATGATTATCGACCATACAGGTAACACTACCTTCATATCTTCCCCCTCCTACCTATCAAAATGTTTGAAAGCGGAGCGGTATACTTATCGATCGTCAAGAAGTTTGGCCGTCCCTACTGCATTCACCCATCCCTTCCAGACAAAACTTGGCCAAGCCGCGCCGCCAACTAACCCAATTTTTTCGAGTGACATAACATGAACCCCCCCCACAAATCCATAACCCTGGTAGATCTACCCCCTGACCCCGACAAACCACAACCCACCCCAAGCTTCACGATACATACGGTATCAATGCATAATAAACTTATCACCCCCAACATAGCATAATGCAACCACCTCATGAACCCCACAAAGGGCCCACTATCCCGCCAAACCCAACCAGCGATACTAGCCACATCACGTTCATACCTACGGCTTACCAAGCTCTGCAGGAATTACCCCCTTCTAATACAGTACGCATAGGCATACGGTAACAAAGTCTCAAGGTACCATACTGTACGTAACATTGACCAGGGAGGAGGGGTCGCCATTTGTCACGAGGGCTAGTAATCACATGGGTACCCATCAAAATCGTACGATACGTTGAGATTCGATACGGCGCTAGTACGGCAGGAGACTCACACAGTACACGATCAATTCTTTGAGCTTTGCATGAAAGGAGGCTCTTTGCTTTGTGCTGGGGGTTGAGTAATTGTGAGTATCGTGTTCTTTCTTTAGATTTGGCTCTGCCAAAGCTAGCTTGCTAAGTGAGCTTGGGAGTTTGATGAACGGGAAGTGATGGGGCACTATCTGATAGTGAATGGAGGATGAGGGAAGGTAGAGATTGCATCTATTCAGGGGCAGCTGATGTCGTTGCAACACCTGTTAAGGAAGTCATTCGGTGTATTCCCCTAGTGCTTACAAAAGATCTCGTCTTGGAGAATATAGAAATAATTGAGTTCAAGGACCACAATCTCAAGCTTAGGGTGACTTGAGTACGTTCATAAGGCTGTAAGTTAGTTCTCAAATATAGTAACCCCCTAAAAATAAAATGTTCAGGCAATCCAGATGTCATTGTAGTGCAGACAAACTTCAGCAACAGAGCTCACTCTGTGTGCAAAAACCCGGGGAACACAGCTATGGAGGTAGTAAAAAAAGGCCTAAAAGGTAGCATGCCCGAAAGGCGAGTCGAACGCCTGATCTTCGCATTACGAGTGCGACGCCTTACCAACTTGGCCATCCGGGCGGATGTTGTTTGCCACCGGGAATAAGTCAATGACTGTATCTCTTGTCTTGTGCATTTCGTAAACATTTTGTTTCGAAGTAGTGCGCCCCCGAGACCCCTCTCTAATCAGAGAAAATGATACAAGTCTTCATTTCAACATTTTGACTTATCTGTGGCCCACAGTGCACCGTGGGCAGGTAACCGTCAAAAGCTGTGTTCAAAGAGCTTACGTGGTTGCCATTGAGCCGCAACAAAAAAAAGGCACACATCATAGCAAACGCGTGCCAAGGAACCTCAGCCCCGCGATCCCAACCCCCCTTCCCCTCCAAATGACTGAGGCCCTAGGCCGAACTTTGAGCAAACACGTCCTCCCGTACAACAAGTCCTCTCTACCGAAAAAAAACCAAAAACACTTCATTCCAAGAGAAAAGAAGCTCGCACGCCTTTGTGAATTTTATTTTTTTATCTAAATACTCTCTATCAACAAAGTCTACTTTGACTTGAACTATGGCTCAAGCTGCTAAGCGGATCACTCGGGTAAGGATCACGGTTTGCCCGTCGGCTTCAAGGAATGAAGGAAGCTAATGAGAGGTTTGTGTCGCAGGAGTATGGCGAGATCGAGGCGAACCCTCCTCAGGGTATCACAATCCAGTCTATTGATGAGGATATGTTCAAGTGGAATATTGAAGTTACGGGACCTAAAGAGTCCATCTACGCTGTTAGTTTTCCCACACCGTAGCGACTTCAAAGTTCTACAAGCAACAGTGTAACAAAAAACTGACTCCAAATTTCTCTATTTTTTCCTACTCCAGGGCGGAACTTTCAAGCTACTCCTAACACTTCCGACAAACTACCCATTCAAACCTCCGATTTTGTCCTTCCAGACAAAGATCTACCACCCGAACGTTACAAACGATGACAAGGGGAGCATGTGTCTTGGCATCTTGAGGAGCGATCAGTGGAAGCCTAGCTGCAAGATCTTGGCAGTCCTAGAGATGGCCCGCGGGCTATTAATGGAACCGAATCCGTGAGTCAAAATAAACCGTTACCCACTTTTTTCCCCTTCCGAAACCGTTACCATACTGTACTGTACCGCATCAGAAGTTTGAGAATATATTGCTGACTTGACCCGAACAAACGGGCGATGGTGATGCAGCGAGGATGCCGTTGAAACCTCTATCGCCGAACAATACAAGAACGACAGGGCTGCCTTCGAGAAGACGGCCAAGGCATGGGTGAAGCAATACGCAAAGTAAATGATTCGCTCACGTTCAAAATTGGTTAAACGGATAAACTTTTTTTTTTAACACTGCTTTTTTCGTTTCATTTTTTTCCCTTCAACAGTACTGTCTTCCTTTTCTTACATATCAATCATGGAACCAGCTTTCGGAGCTCGGGAATAAGAATGGAAGTGTTGAGAATACCGCGGGGGGGGGAACAGGCATAGGGCGTTTTGACTGGCTGGCTTCTTCCTTCGCTCTCTTCGCTTCTCTTATTTTTCTTCTTTGTTAGCTGAGCTCCTGGTCTCCTTTCTCTTTGTTTTACTGTTATGATTACTTGCTGGCTCGAATATGGTAGTAACACGCACCGTATCTTTACAATGGAAGGAAGGGAGAAAAGGAAGAAACGAAGAAAAAAACGACACATATTGTCTGAGAAAAGCACCATACTGTCGCCCTTGCTCACATCTTATGATAATCTAGCCTACTCATGATACCGTGTGCTTATTATCAATCAATACCCTTGAACTGCCTACCTACCTACCGTATTTCCCACATTTGCTAATAAATATACAAACACTGCCCATCCATCTGTCATCCCACTACACTCACCCGGAAAACACGTCCGTCCGTCTTTATTTCTGTCTTGTCTGTTCGTCTATTCGTCATGCGTGCGGGCGCTCTCTCCGCAAAATTGCCTACAAGTGTTTTACCAATATATCAGAGCGAGAAGGAACTAACTAAGTAGCTAGCTGGGGGGGGAGTAGATCCCAGCACCGGTAAGCCCGTCTGACGTCAAAATTGGAAATTTACTGTATGCCGTACTGATGATGATGGATAGTGGGGAGGTTGAGTCAGGTTTTTATGGAGGGAAGAGGGGAGGGATGCGGTGTTGTTAAGAAGAGTAGAGATTGTAACTAGACTACGATACTGAGTACTGTAGCTAGTGTAGCGATCGTCGCGACAACCGCCCTCCGGCGGTTGCCAGATTATCATACTCGTACCGTAGCTTAAATCTGGCCTCATCTCACTGCCGTACTATATTCACTACTGAAGAACACATTTCCAATCCTCCTCCTCCAAAAAAAAAAAAAAATTGCAAGAAAAAAATTGCAAGGATAAAATCTTTATTTTTATTTTTCTCGACGATAAATTGGCGTTAAAGTTGTTAACTAAGTAATTTAGCTCCCATCACACAATCGGTTATCATAAACAAGCAAGACTAACGGGCAGGACCGAGGGAGGGGGGTGGGGGCTGTCTGGGGGATCCCGATGAGCTAGGCTGACAGACTGCCGCATCATACTTGTGGAATAGACTATTGCACGGCGCGGCGGCGGTAAACTACCGTGCCGTACCGGTAAGGTAACGAGACTATCGTACGGTATATAGACTGCACGTAGCATAGATTATCAAGCCGTATGGCGGCGCGTGATATGGTAAGTCGTGGGTATGTAATGGTAAAGAGGGATCGAGATCTCCTTTTTTGTTAAGGTGGTTTGCTGGTCAGATAAGTTAGTACTGTGCTGTACAGTAGGAAGTACAGTACAGTTGAGTAGAAAAGGCTGGCATTAAGAATTGGACCAGTTTACGTACTGTACGTGCCGTTTGCTACTCTGTGCTCCTTAAAAAAAAAAGAAAAGAAAAGAAAAAAAGGAATTGTGACAATCGAGATCTTGGAATGGGAGGCTGTAGTATGATATCACGATAGCCACCGGGGGGGAGAGAAACGAGAAGAAGAAAAAAAAGAAAACTTGGCGATTAAAATTTTGCTTCTCTTCTTGCATGCCTCGACTTACCCCCAACATCCATTTACGAACAATCTTGACTAAGCACCGGGACTCACGGCCTTTTTATTTTATTTCTTCATTTCATTCTTCCTTCCTAAGGGGTTCTTTTCTTCCATTATGGCGTTTGCCTGGGCTTGCCCCCCCCCCCCCTTTTTGGGCGTGGCTTGGCCGGGTATGGTATTCCCATCCGCTTATTCGCTCCGGGATGAGGGCGGCGGAAGGGAGGGAGGAAGGGAGGAAGGGACGGGGGAATTAACTTTTTCCGAGAAGTGTTTGTGTCTGTGTGTTTGGCGGATGAATGAATGAATGAATGAATGAAGGGTCGCCAATTGCGAATCTTTCCCTCTCTTTTGGCTGGTCTTAGTTTGGTTTGGTTTAGCTAGGCTTGCAAGATTGTATACGTGCGAACAGGCTATATTGCACTATAGAGGGCAGAGCAGAACTTATTTAGACAAGATATTGGATGGAAGTGGAGATGAGATAGAAGCACAGCATGTATGCAAGGTGTGCAAATCTGTACATACTGTACATACATCCAAGTCTCTGTCTGTCCGTCTGGTTTGCATTTCTTGTATGACAATTTAGCAAGTCAATCAAATGATCAGAGTTTAAGAATTACCCACATATAGAGTGAGAGGGAGTGGAGGGAATACATTACCCCTCCCTCCAGATGCATCTCTCCTTTTCCCCTTCCTCTTTGAAAAAAGACAAAGCTTAATCCGTCGGGGATTCCGCACTATGGAGTTGAAATGCGTTTACGCACATATGTACGTGTTCGTAAAAGGGTATACTACGGGATCCGTTAAAGTGCTCGTTATTGTTCCTGCATTTGCGAAGAGTTGGATAAGCTATTGAACCGGGTTGCGTTGCGGTGGGGTGCGTTGGAGTTCGCTTAGGTGGGGTTTACATGATACGAAACAGTATAATGCTGCGTGTGGTCCATTCTCGGGTTTTCGGATTTTCAGGCATTTGTTGGTTGAGGTTGAGAGTTGAGAGTACTTTGTAGATTCAGGGGTTGGTGGTTGCTGTACTATTAGACTGCCTGAAGATGCTTGGAGGAGGAGGACTTGCTTTGATTGTACTTTGGGGGGCTTGCAGGTTGAATTGATTGATTAGCCGGTTGTTTATCACAATCGCTACGATTGGAAAGGAAATAGGAGATTGTATCCTGAATATCATAATATTATCAGAGAAAACTCTGCAAAAAGGTCTCGTGAGTTATTACTTGAAAAGTAGTGGGGGAAAAGCGGGAGCTTGGAAGGGAAGGCCGGAGGAAGATACCACCGGCAAGGTACTGCACAGTAGCCAAATAATATGATAGCCTAGTAGGCGTCAGTAGGGGTATCATATCATATCTAAAGTTTCCTCTGCGTGAAGAAAAGAAGAAAGAAAAAAAAAAAGGTGTATTATACCATGTTACGTCCTCATTTGGGAGCTTACCTTAACCGCCAATAGACTCCCTCGAGAAATCATTGCTTTCCACTACCACGTTGTTTTTACCTTCTAACTTTGTCTACTCGTATGATACCATGCCTACATGCTCTGCCGTATATGCCTACCCGCTGTCAATTTTGGACCTTTCTTCACAAAATCCTTTCCCTCCTATCATTCTCCTTCTCCTCGGTGATATCGGTTACAAGTGTGATATTCCCTTTTTTTTTTTTTTTTTTTTTCCTTTTTTTCCCCAACTGTGAATTTGTGGTGATACGCTACGGTACGCCGTTGCAAAAGAAAAACCCGGAAACGACTTCTTTAACCGTTTGTGGTAACCCATCCGCCAAGCGACACAAAACAAACAAAAAAAAACCACACCGCACCCGGCAAATTGACCTGCTCCCGAAATTCATGGCGTGCGGGATATGTCGCACTTGTGAACTCACCGCTTTGGCTACTTCTGCGTGCTTGTTCTTTCTCAATGTCCAATGGGCAAGGTGAGTGAGAATGAGAGATCGTGGATCGGCTGACTGTGTGAATTGGGGTGTAATTCGGTTGCGGGCGTATGGAGAAGGTGAA